GTGTCTGATGTCACGCCCTGGCCTCCTGCCCTCCCACGATGTGGCTTCAGGGATGGGTGGTGTCCTCTGCCTTGGTGAACACCAGACTCTCGGAGCGGGGCTGGGCCAGGGGGTGCCCGTCCCCAGCCTGTCCTGGAAGTGGCTGTGGTCACTCCCGAGTCCATTTGTATGTTTACTGATTTGTTCACTTATCTATTTTGTATTTTGAGTCAGGGGTCTCACTCTGTGGCCCAGGCTTCAGTGCAGTGGCACAATCATGGCTCACAGCACTCGCGACCTCCTGGGCTCAGGTGATCCTTCCGCGTCAGTCTCCTGAGGAGCTGGGACTACAGGCACACACCACCATGCCCGGCAAATTAGTTGACTTCAGCAGAGACGAGGTTTCGCTGCATTGCCCAGGCTGGTCTCAGACTCCTGGGCCCAAGCGATCCTCCCACCTTGGCCTCCCACAGAGTTGGGATCACAGGCGTGAGCCACTGCGCGAGCCGCCTTGTGGACCTAGTTCAGCTCAGAGGAGCGTGGCCCCTGCCCTCAGCTGCCCTGGCTCCTGCCAGGTGCCTGGCCTGGGGCTCAGGAGTTGGGGTCCCGCCCCAGGCAGGACCCTCTTGGGAGCTGCTCCCTTCCTTCTCCTGACGCGCCGACGCAAAACCCACGCCCGCTTCCTCCAGTTTTTATTTGTCATCATGTTGAGTTCCAACCGACGTAATCCCAGGCCTCGCTGGCGAAACACGGCCTACTGACGGCCAGGGCAGGCGGCGGCCCTCTCCGTGGGAGGTCCGCGCTCACCCGAGGAGTCCGGGAGACCCTTGTCTTCATTTCGCCCAGGACTTCCTCCGCCCGGCCCTGCCCCTCGCCAGCCCTCTCTGCAGCACACGCCTTGGCGGGAGCTCCCGGGTGGGCTCGCCCCTTGAGCCACTGTGGCCCCCGGCACTGGCAGGCAGGTGGGAAGGGGGGTCTGGGGCGACAGAGCAAGCCCACACGCACTCCCCTTGAACTCTGCAAAGTCACCGACGCCGAGCCTCGGTTTACACGGCTGTAAACTGGGTGCTGTGGGTCATGAGTCCTAGGCCACAGTCACCATGTGGGTGGACAGGACAGACAAGCTCTGGGTGTGCAGCGAGGCTGCCGGGGCTGAGCGCACCGCACCGCGGGGCCAGCTCACCTCCACCCCGTGGCGCCAACTGCACTTTGAATCCGCATCAAAGCCACGGATTAACGTTTATGGAATCTTCAATGACACCACAGTTGTCAAAGACAGCAGCCCCGCCCCCTCCTAATGGCCGCAAAGTCCCAGGGAAAATCGCCCACTATGGCCGTCACCGGGCATGTTTTGTCTTCTTTCTGCACTCACTTCCGTGTTTCTAAATGGCTTATGTTATGGCTTCCTTTTTTTTTTTTTTTTTTTTTTG